GTCGAACAAGTTTTTAGCGAATTAAGGGCTTCAGAAAAATACGTAAAAATTATGGATATGCATTAAAGATATCTGTTATCCCAAGATTATGGAATAAATACTACAAAGATTATGGAACAAATACTACAAAGCTTATGGAACAAACACTGCAACTTCTATGTTCTTTACTTTGATCTATAGTAGCTTGGAGTTGTTTTAGTAAAAATGGTTCATGTATTTGCTTCAAATAATTTTGCCAATTCACTATTAATCTCAATACATGTTCATATTAATTTTACTATATTATTATATGAATATATCAACTTAAACGCTACTTATGTATGCAAAATCTTGCATTTAGATTTCAGAGTTTCTTAGTAGGTCTAATGAAATGACTACTATATATAAAGGCTCGTATGAAATAGATTAGATGAACTTTAATATTAATATAGTTATAAAATATTGAGTGGTTCGCGACCCACTTGTCATTTACCGAGGTTAGTTGTCATTTGTCAGATAATATTGTAGCTTTAATGTGTTCATTTGCTCTATTTTGCTATTTCAAATACATATACCATAAGATTTACTAAATTGACTGAAAATTGCTTGCAAAATCTTAACAGAAAATTAATAAAACTAAGCAAAACCTACGCAAATCCTCAATTAGTACAACGTTGAAAGCGTTAATTAAATAAAGTGTCCTGTGCCTTGGTTGTAGTGGCAGGCCATTATATATCTCCCATGTACCTCAATTAGCGATTTATCGTCGTTTTGCTAGTCCTGTGCTTTAGTGAACAATTATTCAACGGAAGAAAAAAATTCACTTAACGCCCACTTAAGTATCATTCAAGATACATGAGATGTACACTGCCTAACAGTAGTATTTAACTTTTTGTATTTAAAATACACAAATTTAATGGAAGGAAAAATCACTAAATAAATACAGAAAATTATGCAAACGTGTCTTTAACTTCGTAAAAGCTAGCTAATTCAGGATACTCATCCTTGTGCAAAAATAATGTGGCAAAAAATTAATTTAAATGTAAACAAATGGCGTCAAGCTTTGAAACAAAAAGTTTGACTTTACATATACGAATAGTCGGCAGATATTATCTTAAATGTCTAAGTCCTTGCGTGTGTAAGGACTCTGTTGTTTGTTTTAGCAAAAACTTTCGCACATATTGCTTGGAGTGACTCATAGAAAGAATGGAAAACATAGCCTCGGCTATGAATGCCACTGCAGCATTCAAACCACATTTCTTTAAGTGAAATATTTACACATTAGTAAAGTTTCAGGAAATTTTGTAACCTTAATGAAAAGCGTATGTAGTAACCCAAATGAAATCATTAGTACTAAAAATATGATAATTTTTATTAAAGAAACAACAGTTAGTTGAGATAATAACTTGTGTGTTACATTATTTATATATTATAGACATATATAAGGGATATATATATTAATCTGGCTTGTACTAAAACTAACCTTTCTCTCTTAAAATGTGAGAATGACAAGCGATAGCCAGAATTTCTTGATTGAACGGACGAAGATTTCAACTAAATCTTTGAAAAAGAATAAAATAATAATATATATATTCTTTATTAAGAGTATAAATTTATATATATTTGCATAAATGTAGACAACGCAGAAGAGGTGCGAGCTAAAGTGAACAGAAAGTGATTAGTTGTGCCATTACACCTACAACGCAAAACAATGTAAAAAAAAAAAAATAACAATATTCAATCCAAACATAAAATAACCTACATATAAAAAGGTCTAATTTTGTAGCACATTTGGCCTAAAATGATCTCTCATATTTACATCGAAAATTAAAATTTAATTATTTCTTACCGTTCCCTTCATTTGTACTATGACACTGTTAATCGAATGCATGATCTTTTAAAAAGTAGAAGGGATGACCTTATTGTTTACGGTATAGCTAAATCAGCCTTAAGTGGGGTGCAGACTATCATACTGGTATGTCATACGAGAGAGAAAAACGTCGTATGACACACAGGTATGATAGTCTGCCACCTTTACCAACGTGTTGGCGTGCTCACCAAAATTTTGGTGAACAGCTCTCGCATACGCGTTGTGTATGACAGTCTGTCACCCCTAACGATTCATACGTCATACAAGAGCATTTTTGCCTTGCAAATTTATTGTAAGCAGGTGGAATATGTAGAATTATAATATAAATTTAATATGTTTTTTATTATTTTATTATTAATGTATTTATTATTATTATATTTATTATTATTAAAATTACACTTATAAATTTGTGTTAAATATTTAATTGTATCTTAGTTAAAAAAAATATAAATTTTTACATAAAATTCTTATAAAAAATTAAAATACAATTAAATATTTTATGTAATATATTAAATATTTTGTTTAATTTATTAAATATTTTATTTTATTTTATTTTAATTTATAAACGATGATTATAAGTAAAATTTTTTTTAAAAAAACATCTAAATATAAACATCGTTAAATTTATGATCTAAGCCCAGTAATAAAAAAACATATTGAAAATTGGTCGTAATAACAATTAATTAATAACCCAAATTTAAGATATAATACTTTGTATTCTAAATATGCTTTTCTTTGTTAAAACTTGTTATTAAAATAAAAGAATTTTAAATGTTAATAACCTTTAACTAACAAATATATGGAAATGATCAAATTTCTTCAAAAACAATGAAGATATATACATTCTTATGTATATATATATATACATTATTTGTATGATCTATTTATGAAAAATTTCTTAAGAAACTTCACAGGTAGTGAATGAAATTAACTACGGTCCTTTACTGATCTTTTCATTTTAACTACTGTGCTTAATGACCAATAAACCTAAAAAAAATATGAATATGGATGCAGATAAAGCATTTTTAGATGCTTTCATCGAATGTTAATAAAAGTAATCGCTGTTTGTGGGATGTCCAAAGCTGTGAATATAAAGATCGCAAAAAAAAACGCGGCATATATAAAATATACAAAATTATAATCAATTATAAGCAAAGCACAACCTATACGTTAACTATCAATTTTTTCAATTTTAAAATTTTATTTTAAACACACAAATTTTCACAGCACTACCCGCAAAAGCACTCTTCAAAAATTTTGCCTACCCTTGTGTGTCATACCTGTTCAAATTCGGTCGCTAGAAGAAATTTGAGCAAGAGAGAGCGCAACTCGTATGACACACCAGTATGATAGTCTGCACCCCACTTTAAGCCTCCAACCACACTGTATAAGCAAGATTTTTGCACATGCACTCACTTTTTCACTAATACATACAAAGTATTATTTGTAGACGAAATTTAGAAATAATACGTATACAAGAATTTCGATAAGATTCTACCAATGTAAATAACAAATAATACTTCAATTCGATCTTTGAATCGAAACCTTTAGATATCAAATATTTGAAAATGTACATGCCTATGCCTAAAAGATGTTCAACTTGCTATAGGATTTTTGAGCTACTTTATAATGTTAAACTATTCTTAGGTCTCCGAATTGTCCGAAGAAGCTCTAAGAGTTACTCGAAAGTAGTCAATGACGTTCAAATTGCACAAAGATATTAAACTTGCTAAAAGATGTTCGAAATGGCTGAAGATATATCAGTTGCCCGAAGATGTGCGTGTTGCTTAATGATATTCGAGTTCCTCAAAAATATTAAAGTTGTTCGAAGATATTCGAACTGCTCGAGCTGTTTCATATTGTTCGAGTTATTAGAAGATGTACGAATTGCTCAAAGACGTTTTAGTTACTAGAAGAGACTTTCGTCACTCTAAGATGTTCGAGTTACTCAAGAATGTGTTAATTACTCAAAGATCTTCCAGTAGCTTGAAAATATTCGAATTGCACGAAAATATTTGAGTTATTAAAAAATTTTCAAGTTGCTTGAAGGTGTTCATGTTGCACAAAGATTTTTGAGATACTCGAAAATGCTTGAGTTATTCAAAAATTTTTAAGTTGTTAACATAAAAGATGTTGGAGCGGTTCGAAGAGGCTCTAGTTACTACCAAATATTCGAGATATTTGAAAGTGTTCTTGCTAATTGAAGATGCCAGAGATGCTCAAAAATTTCCAGGTTGTTCGAAAATGTTCGAACTGCTCGATTTTGCTCGAACTACTTCATACTGTTTGCAAGATATTTTAACTTTAAGAATGTTACTCATACATTTTAGAGTTAATTAAAGATTTTCGAGTTCTTCAAAGATATTCAAATTACTCGAAAATGTTAGAATTATTCAAAAATATTCAAGGTGCTAGAAAATGCTCTAGCTGCTACAAAGTATTCGAGGTAATTGAAAATGATCGAGTTTATTGAAGATCGTCGACTTGCTCAAAGATATTCGAGTTACTCTATTATATATCAGTTGCTCGAAAATGTTAGAACTACTCAAAGATATTCGAGTTACTCTAAGATATATGAGTTGGTTGAAATTGTTCAAGTTGTTGAAAGATGTTGAAGCTGCTTGAAGATGGTCCATTTGTTTTAAAATGTTGCAGATATTTGAAGATGTTTGCATTTTACAAAGTTATTCGAACAACTAGAAGAGGTTTTCATTGCTCGAAAATGTTCAAGCTGCTCTAACAACAAATGAGATTTTTTCAACTTATCCAGACTCTAAACAGGTCTATAAAAAAACTATTTAGATTCTATTTGCGGTCTTAACAATAGAACTTAACGAATAGTTCGTTAAGGGTTATAAAATAGAAATGCTACAAAGTTAAAGTTTGGGGAAAATTTCTAATTGCTAGACATTGCATGGTTTTAAGAATTTTTAACTGAATTTCACTAGAAACGATAAAAGAAATAATAGATCAACTCGAAAATCGTAATATCAAAGTCCTTAACGCTTTATAGATAGCAATTTTGGGCAAAACTAGAATCTTTAATAAAAAAAAATTGACGTCAATTTATTTGAACTAATTTAAATTAATTTTAATTAATTAATTTTAATTTATTTAATTAACATTTTATCTACTTTTATACAAATTTCAGTCTTTTTGATTCACTTTGCAATGGCAGTGGTGGCCGGCTTGTGCTGGGTTCGTCAGTGCTCGTCTATTTGCTAATCTACAATGAAGCGTCAGCGCCAAGTGTTCTCTTCGCCACAGTTTTGGCCACAATTTATGGCAGCATTGCAGGTAAATATTTGTTTTAATCTTTGAAAGACTACGAATTCATCAGTTGCACGTCCGTTGTCGTTATACGTATTCATTCAATTTTTTTTTCTTCTATTAAAATGTATCTTTTCGTGAACTTATGCAGCACGTTGCAAAACAAGTTTGCGTTCCTTGCAAATGCCTTACATACGCGCCAGCAATAAATTCGACTTCACATGCCTCTTCCTGGCCAGTTGGATGGATGTTCTAGCTATTTTATGTGCCTGCGGCACGTTGGCACGTACACTTAGCACCTGCTTGGATGCCATGACTGGTGGTTTAGCACGTATTTTAATACTGGGTAAGTGAAATAGTTTTTCCTCAGACAGATAAGATGGCATAATGCACATCCCACATCGCCAAAGAATTTGAAAAACGCTTAAGCAATTTTATTTTTTGCATACTTTTAGGGCGAAACTCACCAGCGAACGAGCCATGGCCAGATGTTTTGGGTGTAGCCGTTGTATTTATTGTGACTGGCATGTTCATGCTGGGTCTGGAGGTGAATGAAAATATTTTGTTGAAATTTTTTATTGTTTTTTTTTACAACAAATATTTAAATAAATATTTTTAATATTTTTAATATTTTTAATATTTTTAATATTTTTTTTTGCATATTTCCTTTGGCCCATATTTTTCGAATTCTATACATGCAAAAGCATTCAAAAGCTTTTAGTCTTATTATGTCACTAGGCATGTTGGGCTTGAATGCTGTTCTAAGTGCTGTCGGTTGGTGGAATGGTGACTTCATGGAGTGGACCCATAGCTTCTTTCAACCGAATGGCTTAAGAAGTGTAAGTACCGATTAAGTATTTAAAGACTTAAAATTTAATTTGGATTTGTTTTATTTCAATCCAATTTAAAATGATTCATTTTCTACTTAAAATACTAAAGCTTTAAGTTCTTGCTTTTGATGGGTGGATTTTATAGGTCACTAAACTTGTAAAGCGTGCATTGACATTGTTTTTTTTTCTAGCACAATTATCGATTAACTTTTGTTCTCAGATAAAAATTTCATAAATTAAAGTTAATGAGCTATGGTGCTTGTTTATGATTTTTATGTGATTTTCCTTATTAGCACGCAACCATTCGTGTGCAAAATACTAGAATTCGCTATTTAACTTGAGTAATCATGGGTAACGGAAATTTGTTTATAAGACTTTTTCTGCTCAAACTAAAAATAAATTATACAAAGAACAAATTATGTGTATTTTTATATTAAAATCAATGCAAATTCGAAATTATAAAATTTTTTAATTAGGTGTTGAGGGTAGGTAATCATAATTGTTCACTTCCATTTGATCAAAACACGCTTAAACCAACACAGTCCCTTTACTTCAGTCCGAGATATGTGAAGCATCGCAGCTCCTTGGCAGGAGTACCCAGAGGACAGGTCACACCTGATAACATTATCCACCTGATGTTGAAATCAACAGAAAATTGGAACCTGGTCTGTGTATTTGCAAAAAAAAACCATAGAAATACAAAGAACAGCAGAGAGAGTTAGAACTCGCTGAATCAGCACCCTCCGAAGTGATGCTTAAATTTGGTTCCGGAGGCATGGTGTTAGGATGAGGTTTAGAACGTAAGCTCAAATACCAAGTCAAAGAGTAAGTCTTGGTTTCGAACCGTACATACTGGTAACACGGGCTATTAGTATCTTTTGAAGATGCCACATCCTTAACTCGTATAGCTTAAATTAAAAAAAAGTCCCTTTAAATGCAATACAGTGCAAAAAAGTCATTAAAGTAATATATCTTTCATTAAATTATTTTGTCAATTTTGCGAACTATGCTTACTATGTTGGAAACGCTTTAGATATATTCCACCTAATAATAATCGAATGTCATTACATTTTTATTTATCATATATGGGTCATATGGCCTTATTAACTTATAACAGAGTGTCCGGTGATAACATCTAGTGGGACTAAGATTTTATTTCTTCACATTGAAAAAAGCCATTAACTTTTTAGGGTAGATTTTGACGATCTTATTTCATCCCTACACGTTTTCACTACTTATTTAATTGCTTCAGAAATGCATTTTAGTTTTAAGATCGTTAAAAACGATTTATTCTGTACGTTTTCCGGAATGAATACAAAAGGTGGTTTATATAAAGGTGGCTATATATAAACGAGTCAAAGAAGATTTCAATGAATCGTAAATAAAAAACAAATATAAGGCGCTCTTAATATCTCCACTACGAGTTATTATAGCAAGTTTCGTATTTTCTTCAAAAATGGATGTATGGGGTGGTGGGTGACATAGATCATTCTATTTTCCGCCGGTATGGAATTTTTGAAATATTTTAAAGCAATTGATTATGCGGACAAATCAGCTACAATTTCAGTATGTGAAGCAAATCTCAAGCACCCCATTCATCCGATACTGATTTGATTTTTCGAAAAAGTTGAGAAAAATTTAAATTTAAACGTTTTTCATCTTTAATGTCAGAAAGTAATATATTGCACAAAAAACATTCAATGCCTTTACTCAAATTATTTTTATGTTTATTTAATTTGAAGACTTTAAGATGTGCACTTGAACTGCAAATGTCATTAATTGATGTTCAGATACTTTGTAGAATAAACAAAGTTTAATGATTGATTTTAAATTTTATTACAACATATATAATTGTAGGTACTTACTGCGGCAGCAATATTGACTTACTCCTACCCAAGTGAGTACCCAACGCAGCGAGTGGGTTTTCAGAGATTTACTGGACTCATACTAACATTTATTGCTTGCATTTCATTGATGTTGGCTTCCGGTTGCTTGTCCACAATTGTACACTACAAGTAAGAAAATAAATTAATTTTAAATTTCATTTTGAAAATATCTACCTCCCCCACTCCTCTGCATTTTCCACAGAATCGTGCCTGAGTTTATTGCAGTCCCACTTTTCACAATATTGGATGAAAACAATTTCCACAAATTGGTACCCGCTGCTGCGTGTTTGCTCATGCTGACTTGTTGCGGTGCTTTTCTGGAATTATTTCCGGAATTATATGGGATTATCGTGCGTTTCGCTACGTCCGAATGGAAAGTATTATCGAAGCAGATTAGCTATGAGAGCAGTGACAGCGGTAATCCTGTCTTGGCTGTATTTGTGGCAGGTTAGTTTTAAAATTGTTTTATTTATTTCTATTTATTTATTTTTATTTGATTCACAGGCAGTCTATGTGCTATGTTGGCTTTTGCTTGTCCCTTACAAAATCTGACTTATATGTTGGCTGCTGGTCATTTAAGTGCTGGATTCTTTCGTGCCTTTTACTTGCTTTATACTCCGTTTCGGCCAAAATTTATGCAACAAAGTACAATACATACAATTAAATTTATTTTAAAAAATATTCTCTAATTTAATGAAATCAATACAGATTCCGATTCATCTTTATCGTATAGTCGCTTATCAACAGCGCCAATGGTAAAGAGCAGCAGTTCAATGGTCAACAATAAACCGAAACGTAGCTTGTGGAACATAAGCCTACCCAAGCAGACTGCAGTTCCAAGAAAGCCAAAATCGAAAACGAAAAATAAACAAGAAGTTGAAAAGGAATGGTTACTGTTGGGTGAGCCAACATCGCCATGCCCACAACGCGAAACTAGAGATATAGAATCAACTATATTATCTGATGGTGAACCACCGGTACATTACTATATATTACATTACTTACTTTTCGCAATAAAATTTTCTTTAATTATAGCCATCGGATTTTGAATATCCAGAGAAGTTTGACAATTCAGATTCGGATACTTCGACAGATATTGATGCAATAGTCGATGAGTACAGACAAAAAATAAAGGTATAAGTTTACTCTTTTCCACTTGAACTCAATCATTATTTTCAAGCTAAACTTTACATATTTCAATTGTTCAATCTTACACGTGCTATATATATGAATACAATATATATTGTATATACACATATGTATTGAGTTTTATATTATTTACTTACATTCATATTAATTATTAATAAATATTTCATATTTTTAATATTTCTTAAAATCAGTTTTATTTGTCAATTTTTTTTATTTTGTCTTACTCAGTTTTGTTATATTTTATTTAACTTTATTTAATTTTTTTATTTTATTAACGATATTACATTTTATTTTAATTTTGTATATTTTTTTTCATTTTATTTCATTATATATTATTTTATTGTGATTTATTTTATTGCATTTTAATTTATTAAATTTTATTTTATTTTATTATATTTTGTTTTTTATTGTATTATGCCCTATTTTATTTTATTTTATTTTATTTTATTTTATTTTATTTTATTTTATTTTATTTTATTTTATTTTATTTTATTTTATTTTATTTTATTTTATTTTATTTTATTTTATTTTATTTTATTTTATTTTATTTTATTTTATTTTATTTTATTTTATTTTATTTTATTTTATTACATTATATTATATTATATTATATATTATTTTGTAAAAATTTGTTTTATATTAACATATTGCATATTATTTCACTTTTTTTTATTTTATTTTTTTTATTTTATTTTATTCTATATGATTTTATTGTAGTGTATTATTTTATTTAATATTTTATGTTCATTATTTTATTTTATTTGATTTCATTTTATTTTACTGTATTTTATTTTACCTTTTTTTATTCTATTGTATTTTATATTTATGTTAATCAAATGCAATAAAATTAATTAATTTTATTTATATGAATTTTATTTTATTAAATTTAATTTTATTTTGAAAATTCTGGCTTTTTTTTATTATATGATATATTCTTTTTTATCTTGTTATATCTTATTTTTTCATTCATTTTATTCGGTTTCTTCTTATATTGCTTTATTATATTTTATTTTGTTTTATTACATATTACTGTATTTTATAATTATTATTTTTTAATTAAATCTTTATTTTATTACATCAAATTTTATTTTATTATATTTTTTTTTTTGTTGTTGACTGTTTTTTATATACTAATAGTATATATCATTTTATTCATTTTATATCATGCACATTCATTTTATTGTAGCTTATTTTTTTTTATAATAACTAGAAACTAAAACATATTTTGTATTATTTAATTTGGTTTTATTTTATTTTGTATTTAATTATATTGATTTTATTTTTGTTTTTATTATATATATTGTATAATTTTGTGTCAGTTTGGGTTTTATTTAACTTCACTTGAAGTTTAACTACTTAAACCTTTTTAACTTTATTTCAATAATTTTATATATATACATACACTCTTTTTAAGGTTACCACAGCTGGACCCATGGAACGCACAATACGTGTACCTTCGGTTACTTCTTGGCGTGTGATGATATTCGCCATTGTTGTTGTGGGATTTGGCATTTCATTAACAGTGGCTGGCATAAAAATGTCTTGGGCTCCTGCTACATTAACAGGCATCATTGGTAAGAAAATTCCAAATGATAATCTTATTTATATTAAAGCCTTTATAAATTTCTAGGTGTCTTCATTATAAGTATTATGATGACACTGATACCAAAATATACAGGCAGTGTTATAGATGTCAGTCCAGTACTCTGCTGTATGGCCATTATGCTCTGTGTCGTACTCTTCTCGGCATGTATGGATTATTCATGGCATGCATTGCTTTTCTGGTTATTGGCTGGCTTGATAATGCTATTGCGCTGCGATAATTGGTGCTGCAATTGCTTTAATTATACAACCACAATTAAAGATCAGCTCATACCAAGTGTCTCAGCCAAGACCACGACGATACGTATGCCACGTCCTCCTAAAAGCATTGTTACAATACCCACGCGCATTAATGCAAACAGATGACAATCGGAGTCCTCCGAAGGCGAGGACCTGTTCAATGAGGATTTTAATGTTAGAGATTTCGACGAAGATGACGACGGTGCTGATGAGGATTGTTGGACTGAATAAAAATTAAAAATAAATAAAAATAAAAATAAAAAACAAACCGACAAATTTTTGAAAAAGTTTTTGAAAATATATTTTTCATTTAGACGCGTCATTCTCATGAAACAAAATAATTAATTAAAATTTTAAACAAATGTAGTTAGCTTAAAGCTGCCTCAAATGAATGCAAAGTATTTTTACTATACAAATGAATTATTATAATATATTTAATATTGTTAACTTATATTGAGAAAAGTGAATTATTAGATAATTGAATAAAATTTCTAGGCTATTTATTAAAATAAAACTTTTTGAAAACATTTTTTAAGCAAAATGCCTAAAACCTATATAATGCAATAATTACTAACAAATATACAGGGTATTTCCTAACTGAATGACATAAAGCAAGTGATGATGTCTTAACATTACATTAACTTTTATGTAAAATGATTCGAAATATCTGAGGGGATACTGAATCTCAAGCCCGCCTCTGAGATAAGGATGATAGCACGTACATGATCAATAACAATCCGAATAGCTTTTCGGAATAGTCGCATACCATCACAATTTTTCTACAACATATAAAAATTAATGAAAAAATTTGTATTAACTGCAGAGGCCGATTGTAGAAAAACGATATGCGGCAGATACGAACTTTTTTTACAAAAAATAAATAGATTATGGACTGGACTGAAACTTTTTCAAAAACATGACTTTGAAACAATATATTTTCAAACTCATTTTATATTACTATTAAATTCGGGCAATTTTTACATCAACCTATAGATCTATTGTGTCCCTTTAATGGATTTAAACTATTACTTCAAGTCCAATTTTTTCAACAGAATATAGTGTTGAACCAACTTTATAATGTCTAATCTGTTTATCCATTATAAGATACTCACCGCTGTATTTCATTTCGGTCCCATTTTCTCTCATTTCGATACAAACACATTTACCGAATTGAATGATAATTCATAAACTAAAATGTTTGAACTATTTGATATAACCATTTTTGAGATATTGACGAACACTTTTTTTCCGAATAGGCTTACTTCTCATAGCCCATATTCGGTTAATACTAAAAAAGCGTTCTCTCCAAAATGTTTGTTTTTTATTTCTTGAATCATGGACTCATTTCCAATATTTATGTGATTTAGTTAGGAATCGCCCTGTTAATCAACTTAAGGATGTATTAAAATTTAAAGCTTATAAAAGAGCTTTTGTTAACATTGAGCTAAATTATATACGAAAAACCAAAGATACCATTAAAGTATTAAAATTTAATAAAAATGATTAAAAAACTTTATAAAAATTTTATTATTTATTTAAATATAACTTTCAGAAATTAACCTTAGTTTTATTAGAAACAGATATTTCTTCATCTATAGTATATATACCGGACCTAGTGTATATAATATTTTAAGAAACTATCTTTGATATGACCTACATTTTCAAGTCCTCTCGTATGTCAGTTGATTCTGATCTATTTATCAGAGTATGGAAGTTTCTAAAAATAAGAATGTCTCATTTCTATTATATAAATACAAAAGATTTAATTTTTTCTTAATTTTAAAAAATGATTTGATTTATGTAAAATCCCAAAGAAGCAAATCTGTCATCAGGACTATAACCACTGAAAAAAAGGGTTATGTTTCTTATAATCATTTTAAAAATTTTGATACCAAAGGAAAAATTTCTACTTAAAGCTTAAGACTATAAAGCTTAAGACTTGAGACTTCAGACTTTAATAAGAAGGGTACCACCATCTCTATTATATAGGCGAGTACTCCACTTTGTTTTTACATATATTATATCAGCTTATTAAATTTTGGTGATATAATTGGACTCAAAGTTAGTTTAATATTTTTATTACAATTATTTTTAATATCTATTTTAGAGTTAAAGACTCAAAAATTAAAATCACTGAACCTCTTAAAAATTAAATGAAGACACTTCAAGTTAATACAACTTAAAAATCTATAAAACTTATATTTAAAAGGCTTTCAATTCGGAAATGCATTTTATAAAACTTTAATGAGTTAAAGAAATAAATATAATATATGTTTAAATCGAAAAGAAGTCGAGACACAGCTTTAGGTATTCAGATATCTTATCTTCAGTCAGTTTCAAAAAGAGTTGTGAATTAATTAATCAAATCCAAAGACATTCAAATAGATAATAATGAATTAAAAAACTATATTTTTATAATAACTGTATATAATATTGTTCAATAATCAATTCGATTGACATATATTGACATATTGTTACAAAATTGGATTAGTCTTTTTTATTACTGAACAGTAAAATTTGACTTCACAAGTAAAATTCTACGACTTTTGACTATTGAAAACTCATATAAATGATAACAGATCCAGCAATAAATAATATAATTAAGTAATGGTAAGTAATTAAATAAAAATTCATTTAATCCAGCAAAACTTGAACTAAAAATCTGATTTTTAAGTGATCAGAACTAAATATTATAGTCACCTATTATCAACAGAAATGAGTATTGAAACACAGTCCAAACCCAGGAACTACTTTTAGCGATTTCGTGGGCTTTGCAGTAACTTTTGTTACCACCAACTTAATGAACGGGAACGATCTCCATGAGCTCCGTGTTTATTAGCTTAAATGTTAAGATAAGGCAATCTGCTCTCAGAAGATGTTAGTATGTGTTGATATACTTATATATGAAAACCCAAAATTCGTCAGACATTTCTATTATGGTTTAAATAATTGGTCAGATTTAACTACATCTCTTTACCGGACTTTTCATACTTTTAGTCATTGATAGAAAGCTAAAACCGAAACCATTACAAAAATTATAACAAGAATTTTATAAAGACATTGGAGTTGTCTTCTTAAGTGTTTTTAGTGGGACCAGTGACATTCGTAAAAAGAGTAACGTAAACCAAAAAGCTCGTATTGGAAATATGCTCTATACTAATGCTAGACATCTAGATAGAAAAAGCACTTTTATGAATATATAAGATCACAGAATTCATCCTCGTAGTAGAGCCTCAGAATCGCTCTAAGTACACATATATAACCCATTGGATTTTTGAATTGCAGTGCTACAACTCTCATAACAATGTTATATATTATGTATTATATATAAAATATGTTTTAACCACACTATAGTCCAGTCTATTGAATATGCAGAAGAAGAGATATTAAGTTTCTTTTGCATTACATGAATACAGCGATATAAATTCTAATGGAGTTATTTAACAAGCACTGTGTTTATGTCCTATATAAACTGCTACCCAAGGGAATAAAGAATTATAAAACTAAACCTTATCTAAAATGCTGGATAACGTATGGAAAAAAGTCCACATTTTTTAATTGGATCCTAAAATGGTTTATGATATAGTTCCAGGCACTGTTTTTATATATGATTTGCTTATAATGAGTCTTTTCATCACGTAATTAGATTCTTTCAAATGGTCATACAGAGGCATAAAAATTGCGATCTCAGGCTGAACAGAGATAACATGGACATGACATTGGCTTACTATGCAAGTTATTTTATGTTCTTATAGATATATCTATAGTCAGTATGTCATAATGTAATATTATAAAAAACAAAAATGTATTCTAAAGAAGAGCTAAGCGAAGTTTTTATGTTGTGAATCATTATTGCGATACAAAAACAATAAATATAAACAATCAATAAAAAAAGTGTTGTTGTGGAATGACTGAATTAATATAATACCCACAAATCATAAAGTCATTAATGAAAGATATTTAACGGATAATAAAAATTATAAAAAATTTTTTTAGTTTATATTTATTTAGTGTTGTAATACAATATCTTCTGTATTTTCCTGTCCAGCGAATTAATCAGATTTAATCTTCTCCTAATATTTTCAATTATTACACTTGAAAAAATTATTAGAATTATTATTAGAATTATTATTAGAATTATTTTATTATATAAAATTATTAACACTATAGAGTAGCTTACTGATCATATAGGAATTATTTCATTTGTTTCCAATCTCTTATGGTTAGTTGTGTACGTAGTAGATTTCTTATTCATAGTATTAAACTAAGTTAGGAAATACCTCTAACTTCGGATTGGTATATAACTTATACTTTGATGTGTATAAAAGTAATGATAGAGTATGTTGGTGAATAAAGCAAAACCTGACTCAAGCTGTTTAATGTGATTTTATTTCACTCTTTATATCCACTGGCTTCATTTTATACAAGTATACCTTCTGCTCAAAAAGTACTCGGATTTTGTAAATAAATATTTATTTTATCTCCTTCAAAATATGCTCCTTCTGAAGCGATACACATATGACAACGCTTAACCCAATCTTCCATACACTTTTCGTAGGCCCGTGAAGGTATGGCTTTTAGTTCCTTCAGCGAATTCTCTTTTACCGATTCAATCGTCTCAAAACGCTTACAACGAAGGGGCAATTTGAGTTTCGGGAACAGGAAAAAGTCGCACGGATCCAGATCTGGCGAATATGGTGCCTGAGCGATGACAGTGGTGCCATGTTTAGTCAAAAAATGGTGTACATACAACAAGAACTTTTCATAGTAAAAATCGCTAAATGCACTTGAGGTAGTCTCACATTAACAGCTGCTGTAAACAAACTAATTGACAGATGGCGCTCAAATTTGTACCATATATCAAGAAAGAGTGTACCAATATAACATAAAATTTTTGAAAAAGGTCTATTACTTAAGGAGTAGTTAACAAACAACAAAATTCAAATACTTTTTGAACAGAACGTATATGAGCTAAAATCAACTCCGGCTCATAGTATCAATAGATCAATATAATTTGTAACTATATTCCTATCAGAAATTAGTAATCAATTTGTAATTAATCTTTATAAAATATTCAATTAATCTTAGTATTCATAGCGATATTTTTACGTCTTTTTCTCTAATCAATCTTCAGCACCTTGTTTATCTTCTAAGCGTTTTATAATGACAAACTTTTCAAATTTCATGCTGTATGCAAATCACTATATCAGATGTTCACAAAAATACTATTTATGCCAAAAAATATACTAAAATACAATAATAACGAATAAATAAATAAGAATTAAATTGTTACAAAACAATTTATTCTTTTGCTTGAGGGGAGTATAGTAAATGGCTTAACCGCAAACTTTTTATTAAAGAGATTTGTTCTCTCGAAGTTTGCAATAACGTTTACCCATGCTAATCTTATCTCTAATGGCTCAATGTTAGGGGTAATTAGTTGTAGAACGTGATAAGACCGTAAATTAATTAAAATAAAATAAACACACTATTTGAAGCTTATCAAGCTAAACAGAAAGTGAAATAAAGAAAGAAATGAATGAGAGTGATAACAGCGGGAAGGCACAAGCCCCCGAAATGTTTTCCATAGATTGAAAGCAAACCCAAGTGTAGTTGCTATTAGCGATAATAAATGGAAAGATGAATGAATATAGCGCTATTCAACACATCGTGGAGATACCTCTTCCATTCTCATACTTCTATTTGCAATTTCAATTGCTTTAATTAATTTCAAATTAACTATGTTTTATTTTATCATTTTATTTGGAAGAGCAAACGAACATTTGACATCTACACTTGTATTACTAATAGATTCTACGTTCATGTTTAGTTGACATTAAGCGTTCTTTCGGTACAGATATAGTTTATACGTGGAAGTTCGAACATTTCTTCTCAAGATTTTCTTAAAATAAAAATCATGGATGTTGGTGACATAAAATTATTTGATAAAGCAGAATGTTTTAAAATCTTAAAAAAGTCTTTAAGACTAACAAGTGATGAGAACATTAAGATATTACGTTACAGTGTCAATCGCTGCTCGGATGAGCTCGTCGGTTTTATGGGCGAATATTATAAATTGAATATTTGCATTGTTGATGAGGTGAAGCTTTTATATTTAATATAATTACCATAAGTACATATAGGCAATAAAAAAAAATTATTTTTATAAATTAATAGGATTCCGTAGATGGCGAGAAAAAGTTTCGTTATTTTATAAAAACTGTGCCGCTGACCAATGAATATCATCGAGATGAATGCGAACGCAAAGGGTTTTTTGAAAAAGAAGGCTGCATTTACACTGAAATATTACCAAATATACAAAGATATGGTAAATATATATATATTACAAATATCTTTTTAAAATTATAAAGGGTTTTTCTAAACCCTTTATAATTATATTAATTATCAAAAAAGGAAAACATACTTTGCTAAGTATTTGGTGGTTCAAATATTTCAGTTACGTGTCACACATATCATTATGGTATATACATTGTGACCGAAAAGCTTTCGGAAATTCTCATTTAAAATTCGCGCGCTGTATATTTTTCGATATTTTAAGTTTATGTAGTTTGGCAGCACTGTCCTTAATTACTATGCCAAAAATGAGCGCGATCTGTCGGACAGTTCGTTTACGGCAGCTGTTGAAACCAGTTCACCTCAGTAGTGCGTTGCGAAAAAAACAATGGAAAAAAATATTGAACAAAGAGTTTGCATCAAATTTTGTTTTTCGAACGAAATTTCGTGTGCAGAATCGTTGCGAATGCTACAAAAGGCTTATGGGGAATCAGTTTTATCGAAAACTCAAGTTTATGAGTGGTACAAAGCCTTTCAGGACTGTCGTACGACCGTCGAAGACATGCCGCGTTCTGGACGACCTTCGACCTCTACCACCGACGAAAACATTGAAAAGGCAAAGGAAATCGTGTTCAAAAATCCTCATGTGAGTGTTAGAGAGATAGCACGAGAGCTAGGCATCGGTCGTGAGATGGCTCGTTTGATTTTGGTGGACAATTTGTGTATGCGACGTGTCAACGCCCGGCTTGTTCCGATTCACCTCAATTTGTTCAACATTATCAACGATTTTAAGGCCAAACATTCAATAAATACCATCGAACAGCCACCGTATTCACCTGATCTTGCACCGTGTGACTTTTTCCTGTTTCCCAACCTCAAATTACCACTCAGAGGAACGCGTTTTGAATCCATAGAAGACGTAAAACAGAATTCGCAGAGGGAACTCAAAGCCATACCGGAAAGCGCCTATAAAAAATGTTTTGATGATTGGAAGAAACGTTGGCATTTGTGTATCGCTTCTAATGGAGCAATATTTTGAAGGAGATAAAATAAATATTGATGAAGATTAAGAATTTTGCGTTTTATTTATTTATTTCCGGAAACTTTTCGGTCACAATGTATATATCCTACAAGTATGTATACATATACCCAAATCTGTTGTTTTATATATACAACAATTGAAGACTGAACAAAACATCCAATTTTATATAATAATGAACCTTATATAGAGAGGTTGGAGGTTAGATCGACCCTATTCAAAATTTCATTTTATGGGTTTAAAATTTGAAAAATAATTTTGTTGGCAAACAGAAAAATAAATAGACTTTCATTTGTCTTTCAGAAAATATGTCATTAGGTACATACAACGTAAGTTATATAGTTACCGATTCCACCTTGAATGCATTGCAAGACCACAACAAAAACTTAACAAACCCAATATTTTCAACTACATAATAAAAAATTGTATAGAGGTTTTTCTTATAACAGTACAAATATAGTACTCTACTTTAAACGAAGAGCGGAAAATTCTATATAGAAAAAGTAACCCCTGTGACAAATCAGCTGCGGAACAGAATGTCGTATATGTACTACCTAAAGAAAGTTTTTAGAAACGACATCACTATCTCAGAAACAGTTTCTATGAAAAGTTTATGTCATTAACTATGCTTTTGTTCATTACAATCATTATTATGGAGTCTTAGAATATTGGGAAATGACGAAATTTGAAATGTTTAATTTTGCTTATTTTACTATATAAGCATATGCTAACTTGAGCATAGAATGCTTGCGAAAGTGGAGTGAAAGAGTTTACTTTGAAATCAATATAATACAATTCAGTAGGGTTATGCATATCTAATGCAACATTTTAATATAATGTTTAACATAATCATTTTACCTAAAAATAAAAAGGATTTCTTTTCAATAAAACTATAAAAAAAAATATTTCCTTTTTTCTTGGTTTAACTAATTGAACGAAATAGTACACATTCAAGACATACGAGAATGTTCCAGTTTCCCGGATATGTTACGATGATACATCTTGCATCACCGTTAGCCATGCGTATCTTATAGCTATTATCTAGCACCAACCCTTATACTGCATGTGCTTTGCAAGAAAAAAACAAAAATATTAGTTAATTTTATCTGGAATGAACCAAAAAATATAATAATCATCTTCCAAGTACTTTGCCAGCAGTTATTAGTATTGTTTTTTGATGATTCCAAGAACGGCCGAATCTAAGTACCGGAGTTCGACGACCAAGTGTAGTGCGCGACATCCAAAGGAGACTACATAATCAAATCCCTGCAAGTTACAACAACAACCACATTTTTTTTTTGAATCTTCGGTTCAACATACCGTATATTTATTTGATATTTATAAATACATCTAGATACAATATATATGGGTTTATTTATACAATTTCATTATACTTATCTGAAGTGAATTGTCACACTGAACCTAATAAATTCGACCGAACAATCAACCGAATGTATTTTTTCCGTACAATCCGTACCCTTCCATTGTTTGCAATAAAACCCTTGAGAACGATATAACATAGTGGGTGAAGCAGTACTCATAGATGTCCTCACATCTAGCGAAGAAGCTATTTTTGATGCCTCAAGTTGGTATAAACCAACATAGGCTTACGGGCGAAACTTCAAGCAATGTTATAAAGAGTTGCTTTTATAAAGATTGAAGCATATATCTCCTACAGATCGTAAGAATTATAGTACTAAACTGTTGTAGAGTTCACTCTACATTGTCTCATGAAGTATCACTGCATCGGTGCTTCATATACTCCTATACTCTTAGAATTTTTTTTTGAATTGGTGAGCAATTAAAAATCATAAATTGAGCCAATAATTGTTTACTTTAATTAGATGTCAAATTTTTTATTTAATTCCAGCACCTACTCAATTATATCCAGAGTGTTATTATAATCGTCCCGATTTATTGGTATTAGAAGATCTCTCAGCTTCACCCAAAGGCTTTCATCACATTGATAACTTTCATTCTCATACGCCATTGCATCACAAAGTCATGTTGAAGCACTTGGCCAAACTGCATGCAGCCAGCATTGCTTGGGAATCGTATGAAAATATCAATATTGGTGAAAAATTTCAACACCAGCTCAAGGAAATGTTTTTATCTACCGAAAATGAGTGGTACATCACGGGAGTTAAAGTAAGTACAAAAAAACAAGCATTCCGTAAAAATGTTTAATATCTTCTCATTTTAAAGTTTAGAATAATGTTTTAAAAACTAAAACAATTTTTATTCTCTTGAACCTATTATTTAATATATATATATTTTTTTACTTCTCTAGAGCATTGTTTTCCTAAGCAAAATGCTTCCAAGTTACCAAGAACCGAGAGTGAAGAAATATGTTGATGAAGAACTTTATGAAGTACTTTGTAAGGCAGAATTACTCACTGAACCCTCGAAAAAGTTCCATAATGTACTCTGCCATCGTGATTCATGGGAACACAATATATTTTATACATATAATGAGCAAAAAGAGCCAATCGATTGCCGTATAGTGGACTTTCAACTGACTCGGTACAGTCCACCTGCTATTGATGTTCTATTCTTTATATATGCGACTACAACATTTGAGGAGCGAGAGAAAACATGCAATACTTACTTAGAATACTATCACGAATCACTTAGAGCATCTCTACGAAACCTCAATCTTTCCGAAGACCTAATAACTATGGAAGAATTTCAGCAAGACTGCAAACGCGCACGTTTTCCCGTCCTAATACTGCACTCCATTTCCGAGCCACTAATAAAAATGCCAAAAGGAGTTTCAAATAAAATGCGTGCCGAGGAACAAGAAAAATTTGATTATTATATGAATACAAAAAGAGACGAACTGTTTTTGCGAGTCATAGAAATGGAACCAACGTATAGAAAAACTATTCTTCAACCAGTGGAAGAATTGCTCAATTATTTATTAAAAAATGATGATTTATTTTTAAGTTAATATACATATTCTATGTAAATTCTTAATAGGTAATATGCCTACAGGTATACTATAAAAAAAAAATTATATAAATATAAATTAAATACATAATAGCTTCATTTTTAATTTTCACTACTTAATATCAAATCCATAAAATCTCTAATACACTCAAACATATATTCCCGAAAACTTTGATGTTCATGTAGCAGGTCTAGCACCTGCTCCGTGCGTTCAATATTCGCATATCGATGAAACGCATCGGGATTATTTAGCTTCATATTCTTTAAATAGCCATCGGGAACTCTCAATATAGTAGCCGTCATACAGTTGTAGAGCGCACCATACAATTCTAAATCTTTCATTGAATTTTCAAACTCTGTTCGACTCATATGTTCATCTGCTCTTATACCCATGCTGCTAAGCTCAGCTTCAAAATGTTCATAATACAATGTGCAGCTTTGTGCCATTAACTCTCGCCGTTCTTTCGGTTTCAAATTAAGATACAACGCCATTAGCACATCTATCGCCGCTGGGCTATAGCGACATAATTGAAAGTCAACAAACACTGCGGGGGTCTCAGATGTGTCTGTTTTGCTGTAACATATATTTCCACCCCATGGATCACGATGACAAAACACATTTCGATACTTTGTAGATGGGTTAACCATGGCATAGACGGATTCTATAAGCGCTGGTAATTTATTGTCTAGGAATTCGCGCATTTCAGGCTTTTGGTACCCAGGGTGTTGTTTAATTACTGCTATCACAGCCTTAAAATAAAAAAATAATGTTTAATATATAATTTTAATAAGTATATAAGTATTGATTAAGTACCTTTATACCTGTGGTGTACCATGTCACTGTTGGACTGACCGTTACTTCATAGAGTACATCTTTTAGTTGCTCACCGATATTGATTTTATTTTTTAGTTCATACCCAATACTACATGCATGCAGTGTAGCTAATCCTTTCAGCAGTGGTTTTATCTGTTGTTCGGTTAAAAATTTAGTGGGTTGCTTAAAGGGTTCGTAACCCAAATCAACAACGTTCTGCATAACAACGAGGTCCTTTCGTGTGTAGTAGCATTGAGCACACCAAATTGTTTTGCCTATGGAATATATGAAGACAGAAATAAAAATTTATTTATTTTATTTTAAATAAAATAAATTTTTAATAACTTTTTTAAATCTATTATAATTTTTATTACTTAAATTAATTTATGATCACTTTACGTTGCTATCTAGCATTTTAGGTTGAGATAATATAGCACATGGCAACGAAATGCTTCTACTATCTTTTTGGTTGATAAATTTAAATTTATTAGCTATAAACATAATACTTCAAGCATATCTTCTTTTTATTCCGATTGTGATTTGTGCAAATATTAACATATATGTATATGTATATATGTATATGTAATAATGTAATAATGTAATTTTTTTTATAGAAAACCAAAGACTATCTGCATAAAGTGAAAATAAAAGGAAAAAGATACTCCAGATGTGGTAGTCAGAAGTTCTCAAAACTTTCAGCTTATTTTCGAAAATGTGTCATACCTAATTGATATATTTTGCTTAACTATACTCCACATTCATTAACATTGTGAAGGTTGCATTAGATGGAAGTCTTCCAAATAATATAATCTATTTATTTCAAGAAAATTTCAACTTTAATTTTGGAATAAAAATAGTCATTCAATGGACCCAACTGGAAAAAACAGATTGGCAACTCATTACTTCTTGTAAGTTCAAGCCACGAAAACTGTATAAGTGAGTCTGTGAATTGTTTTGGTTGAAGACGTTTTCTAAAGGTTTTAAACCCAATCAGGCTATAAATTAAAAGATTATTTAATGGTTATAATCACAACGATGGTTTCATGTAATAAGCGATTTTTAGATATAGAGATATTTTTACAACTAATATTTTGTTTAATATTGAAAATAGTTTATTACTTTTTGATTTAAATATACTACTTTTCGCTTAATATTTCAATTGGTGCTTTTAATTGGTATCCAGTAAGTAATTCCATTAAATTTCTTATGAACTTATACTTAATGACAATAAATGAGGTCGTGACAATAGGCCTCATGATGTCACATGTAGTACCCTAAGCGGAAATAATGAACCGTTATAATACCACAGAAAGTTTTATTATTATTTTATTAGTTCTATTAGTTTTATTATTCTATTATTCTAATTAGTTCTAAAATCTTTTCCAAGCATACTTACTGAATTTTCTGAGTTCATTCAACAAAGTCTCATAGAGCATGGTTTCCTTTTTAAAAATAGAGGACATTTCAGCGCTCTCATGAAGCGTGACTTTTACAAAGAGACGAGTTCTGTGTATTGTTTCAGCCTGAAATAAATCTCTGTTAGCACATTGCAAATTTATATTTTTATATACAATTTATAATCACAATTACATTTTTAAGTTGATAACTCAGATTTAGATGAAAATATTGACCCAAATAGCCCACACTCCCTAATTCCGGCACAATTTCAAATTGTAATAGTTTTCCATTTTCTGCTAAATCATCTCCGAGAAAATTACTTAAAATTTTTTCGCATTCCTCGCGTGTGAACAGATCATTCCGATTATGCCGCGCCGAAATCGTCTCACTCATATTTAAATAAATTTTATTTTCAAAAAATCAAAAAAAAATTTAAAAATTAAAATTAATTTATTATAATTAAATTCTTGGAGTTACGTTGTGCTCAAATCACACAGTACTACTGTCGGTAGTTGCTTATTACTTCGGATATTCCATGAATCAAACTATTGAGTTTTGTGAACACATAATAATTTTAATCTAAACAGAATAGAACAAAATACAAACGAATCAAATCTATATATGTTTTTCTAAGTGATAAGATAATATTTTATTAAATATTCATAGAAAAAAAAAGAAAGCAGAACTCAAGTAGAAACCAAACAAATTTGTGTTAAGTTACAAGTTACTCAATTGGCATATGTTTTCATTAGTAAATAATATATGTATGTATGTTTCTCTGTACGGAATGTATGGCTTTTGTATTAATGTCTTCCCATTAACAGCGATTATTTATTGTTGTTGCTTCTCATCGATCAACAGTAGTTCCACTATTTCCGCTACAGTCTCCAGCATACTGGTACGAAAGTTGACATTCTCTGCCATGTAGTCCAGCACAGGTTGCGTTCGTTCCACATGTTTGTACTCATTGGTTACGAAATTTTTCGGTACTTGTAGTATTGTCATGGCAATGGCCTTGTAGACACTTCCCATTAAACGAAATTCATGATATGATCTTAGTAAATCTTGCCATGTCATATACTTTCCAACAACAAGGTTATAACTTTCTAACTGCTCCCAGAACTTATGATAGTACCATTCCAAGTATGTTGATTCTTTAAGTTGTCGTTCTTTTTTTTGCAAATTCATATATAAAACAAATACTACATCAATGCTCGCGGCGCAGTAACGACAAGTTTGAAAATCCACTAAAACTGCTGAATTATTGACATCATTTGTTTCCAGTGCAGAATTATGGAAAAATATATTGCCAAGCCAAGCGTCACGGTGGCATATAACATTTTGATACTTTTCCGACACATCAATCATACCATAAATTGCAGCCAATTTGTTTGATATGTCTGGTATATATTTTTCTTTAGAATATTTTTGTACTACTGCCATTACTGCCTTTAAGCCTGTTGTGTACCAGGCGATATCGGGCGAAATAGTTATCTCCTGCAAAATATCCTTATATACTTCACCAATACTGATATCGTTTTTAGCTTCATAGGCAATGCTAGTTGCATGCAATATCGCTAAGGTATTTAGAACATTTTTTATTTCTACATCACTAAGACTTTCTCTAGGGTTTTTGCGTACAGTGTAACCTAGTTTTTCAAGATCTTCCATTACAAATAGATCGTTTCGTGTGTAAAAAGTTTTGGGTTTCCACATTTTCGTCGCTAAAAATAAATTGAATAAGATGTTAACATTGATTTTAATAATGTATAATATAGTATAGTGATTAATGATATAATTTATATTCGAATTATTTAAAAAAAAATGAATTTAATTTATTGAAACATAAATTAAGTTCACAAATAACTGACCTTAAGACCGGTTAAATTTAATGTTAACTATTATATATTCAATTCTCTCAAATATGCGATGTACAATATAAAATCTAAATATTTATATCAGAGTTTTAGCCATAGAGGTCTTCAACTCAAGGCTTTACATAAATTAATGATCTACCTACATAACATATAACTGAATATAAACATATATACAAATTTATGTATATTAAATATTCTTATTATATAGTTATTCCAATATATAGTATATGATTGTGATCGGCAAACATAAAAAGGGTGTATGAAAACAAAGCCTTAAACATCATTAAATGGATTAATTGATCCAGACGTTGCAAATGCTACCACTACCAATAATAAATTACGAAGTAAATCTCTCAGATCTCTCATTCAGATATTTAGTTCAGATACTTATATTAAAGTAAATTTGATACCTAACAGCACTAAATTGACGATATAATAGAGTTCTTTGTAACTTCATAAAGAAAAAAAATAAATAAATAAATAATAACACACTGCAAATATAAATAAAAATGTGCTCAGTAGCACAACTTTGATTTCGTCTTTTGAAAGACAGAAAAACAAAACATCTATCAAAACATCTTATGAAAGATTTTTAACTTTGGTCAGCTGAAAGATATAACGCCAGAATATAACGTCAGACATTTATTTCTAAACGATAAACAGTAGAATTGCCAAATATCTTGTCCACACATATGACTCATCTGACAAAAAAAAAACAAAACCTTAAAAAACTATAGAGGCTTCATTCAATGCGAGGCAATATAATCTTGATTCTTGTAATGTTCATTATCATTGGACACTTTCGTATCAGTCGACATGCTTTATGAACATATATATCTAATAACTACAACAGAAACTTCGGTGTTGAGAAGAAAGTTTAAAACTAGGACCATAAGATATCTTTTTTATTCATATCAATCGGTTAAAAAAGAATAACTACTGCAGAAATTCCTGATCCAGTGATGTAAGACAACATCACCACAATAATGAATCAATGAATTCATAATCATATTGTTTGGGTAAAAATTTATTCGGGAGGTTTATGGTCCCATACTCAAAGGTAACCAGTATCGAATTTATTGAAATTATAACATAGTTAAACATTTTAAAATTCAGCGGCTTCGCCTTCACATAAATAACATCCATAAGCGATTACAGTTAATAAGATTAATATTATAATCCTACACAATAAAATAAAATAAATAATACACAATAAAAAAGTGAAGATATATTTGTAATTTTGAATTAAGATAGCACTCTCATATTAAACTTACTGGAACATGTTTTCAAATTTTTTGCTGGAGCACTTGTCAACAGAAGTAAAGTATGTGAGAATTAAAAATATCTTGCACTCGAAAAAAGAAGTTGATGAAACCACAATATTATGCCATATTATAACTATTATTTATAGTTAAATATAATTTAGAACAGTTATTGAACCTAAGAAATCTTTTTATAAATTAACTAGTTAAGTAACTTTAACTTCAATTATATCTAATATTGATTTCATTAGTTCTAGACTATGAATATTGTTCTGATTCCGTATCAAGTCGTACAGAAACTCTTAATAACAAATAATTCAATGCAACTAGTTCACTTCTTTTTATCATAGTTAAGATAATATAAATATATACAAACAGTCTAGATCCTGTCAGTGGGTAAGTTGGCTTTGTATTGGATGAAAGTAATATGCGAGACCAATAAGTCAATGTTTTTAGAAAAACGTGGTAAAATAAATTTCTCAAAAAAATGTACTTATGTTTCAAATGCTAAGTTTCTGTAGTGCAGGATTTGATGATTGTTTAAAGAACAGATATATGTTTGATATATAGTATTGTGTGGACGGTAAAAACTAACTTAGTTTTTAGAACAAAAAGCGATAACCTTATGGAATGATAAGGTTGTTAGTCATTAAAAATATCAAGAAAACAAGAAATTTTCCTAAAATCTAACATAAATGACTAAATTTGCTCAATTTTTATAACATTCGAAAAGAAATAGTTATTAAAGAAGTATTCCAGATGTAATTATATATAATTCAGTCAATTTCGCTACTGTGTTTCTTAAGGCAAATATATATACATATCGAATATTAAGGAGAAATCAGAAGTCATCGAATATTGATACCGATATAAATTTATAACTTGTTAATTCTCAAACTGTTTTATTGAACATATATTGGTCATATAAGCTAAGAATAATTTATAAAAATAATAATCATATTATAAGAATATATTAATCATCATTGTTCTAAGAAAGATACCCACACTTAGGACTAGACAGAATAATATTTTTTTTATTCAGAAAAATATTAATCAAAAGTTTAAGCTTAAATTTATTTTAATGGATTGTAAGAAAAAGTTATTTATTTATTTATTTATTTACCCATTTACTTAGTGTAAATTAAAATGCAGAATAAAATTACAAATAAACTAAAAAAAGCCTTAGAATAACAGGCCTGCAGCTTGGAGAGAAATTTAATTCATGAACTTTCTTCAAATATTGAACCTACAGAACATTTTCACTTTACCAATACTTACCAGCCGTCATATAAGTTTTGAGTACAGAGATATACATATAAAGTATTTTTTAGTGAAACATATATCTCCCTATTTCTAATAAAATTCAGTTTAAGTTTTATAACTGATAAGACTCTTATAACATTTATAAAATTTATGAAATTTATAAAGTTTATAATATCTATAACACTTATAAACTTATCAACTTCGAATATTTTTAAAATAATGACGGCTTAATGCAAGGAAATACTATTCCATAAAATGCTAATTTCAGGATATTAAAAGAATGTTATCAATCTAATAGATGAATAGCTTCAAAATTTATACTCCTCTTCATATAGCCATATTTAAGTGATTGCATGAAGCACTTTGATCTATTTTAAGTTATTATTATTTTATACTGAATCAGTGTATTGGGAAATAATTAAATGAGTAGCTATTGAATGGTTTTTTAAGATGTGATTAACGAATCGTTAACATAATGAATGAAGCCCTCGCATCCACTTTTGATATAGCTTAGTCAAGTTTTTAGTATTTAAGCAAAGCATAAGTATTTCTATCCTAAATATTGAAATAATTACATAGAAATACCATACCATTTTTACAATCACTTGGGTGAATAATTATAAGGATTGATTCACGCTTAAGTGTGAAGTTAAATGCGAACAACAATATTTAAGCCCCTAGTTAAGGATTGAAAAATTTTCTTCCAAATGATCCTTTAGAGATTATTAGTGATTTAGAGTCCAATATCTCACTTCACGATCTAGTAGAGGTTAAACTATTGCTCATTCAATTAATACCTCTGTCAAAGTGCTAAACACTTAAATTACTTGTCAAATTTCTAAAATTAACTCAAAGACTTAGAGAGCAATTCTAGCAAAGATAGTTAAAAGTTTTTCGAAAGATATTTAAAAGGTAGAATGAAATAATTCTGAGATGTCTCAAAAACGCAACGATCCAAGCGCATACTAGAAGAAAAACCTAAAGAAAGAAGGTGTGTTATGCACTCTAATAAAATATTAGTTAAAATATTATTTAAAGAACAATATTTCGAAGATAATGAGAGGAAGAAAGAAAACAATGATAAGAACAAGAGAAATGTTGCTAGATTCACCATACACTGCAGAGGCAATAAATGCATATGATTAATATAAAGAAGAATCTACTTTCATTTTTATATATTTTTCAATTGTTCATATAAGCCTCAACCAATATAGATAAGTAAATAGTGAACTTTAAAGCATCCATAAATATATTATATAAATTTTTTTTTGTTTTATATGTGGTAAACATGAGGATAAGGAAAGTGGAAATACCAAGCAGTTTCTAATAAGTTTCTTCTTTAGTGCTTTGCTAAAATTGACCGTTCTTTTATGCTCTTCATGCTACAAAATTAGGCTTTCTTACGAAAGAAGTCTTAAGTGTATGGTCAACTCACATTTTTGATCTGAGAGCTGATGCAATCAAAGAACTGAATAAAATTTAGGAATAATTAGAGCCAACTAAAGCAAATTAGAGGTAACTAAAGCAGTTAACAAAAAGAGAAAAAATAGAAATGATTGGATTAAAATATGAAAGAGTTTTTCTATCCTTCCCGCGAAAGAGAATTTTTAGAGAGTAACAAGAGAATAATAAACACATCTATAACAACAACATTATAAGAGAGGCTTAGTGTGAAGTACGATTTAGAAACTTTGTACTCTCCAACCAAATGCTTACTATTATCTTTTTTATGCGTTTATTCAAACAGTTTTAAGTACTAGATATCAAATGAGCAGTTTTATTATTTATTATTGTGTAGTGATTTTATGTATCAAACAGAACCAATTGTATAAATAAATCGATGCAACTGGATTATGGCACGAAGTCTGTTTACTGGCAATAACGAATTATTTGTTTCACTACTCAAAACACTTTTTATTAACTGACCAAAGTATTAAATTTCTAACCACGAAAAAGTCGATCAGTTTTTATTTTTGTACACTTCCTACAAGGTGCGGGGTGTCATTTGTTAAGACAAGACATCTTAAGTTTGCAATATGAAGACTATAATGGTCTAAATGATTTTTTTCTAAATTTTTTGGGCACGTGCAGTGTATGCGCAACGAGAATTTGCCATGACAAGCATTAACTTTTAACTTTTGTAGCCAGTTTCAAAACCTTTCTATAAAGAACCTATCAGGTTCTGCTAAAGTCTCAAGAAGTTTTTCAAACTTTATACATTATAAAGAGCTTGGTATATTAGCATAATATAATCAATGGGTCTCAGTGGATCCTTAGGATCGCCAGCATTAACTAACCTTAAGATATATATAAAAAAATAAA